GGTCATTTGCTACTAAGTCATCCAAAGTTTAACATCTCGATCGTACGGCAATTTTTATCGTAAGATTATTACGATAGCCTTTTAGAAACGCACGTAATCGTAAGCATAAGACAATCGTGAGTTTAGTCTAAAGTCGTACGATTTTTTGAGAAACGGGCCCCTTATAATTGTGGGAATAAAACATGAGATTAACGATAATGGGAAACAAATTATTGTCACTGAAAAGATCAATGAATTATTATTCCTTGACTAGCCTATTAAACTTTTGCCCACCTGATCCTCTGGACGCATGGGGAAGCCTCCGTGCAAAGAATTTTAGACGCATTCAACGCGTTCCATCCATCAATTCACTAGCGTGTATTCCTACGAAAAATTTTATTTTTTAAAACACCGTATTGAGCTTGACCGATGGACAGATCCAGACTTCTGTTGACAGAAAACAATACATGTAGATTCGTCTAATTTCCTCCATGATTCGTCGTTTCACACCCCTAACAGGTTTGTCTACAGCCAAGCCTTAGATGCCAGCGTATTTGTTCAGATTCGATTGATCGTGATAGAAAACTAGAAACTCTATCTAGAGCCTTCAAAAAAACTGTAGTATGAGGAACTTACGGTCAAACGAATATTTGCGCGTGCTTGTAGAAAACCAAGGAATTCGCTTTTACAGTATCAAGATGAAGAGTTCGCACACAACAACCGAGTTCCTTTAGTCACTACCTACAACAACCGCAGTATGAGACTTTGAAAAATTATCGAAGACCTACAACAAATTTCTGATAATGATGACTATTTGAAAGATAGACTGGCATGCAAGGTAAAAAAGTGCCTCTAGTGGCTGAAATTGATAATGTTATATGTAATGCATATGTTGTATGCATACCAAGTTTTATCAAGATTGGATTTAAACTGTAGACTCCATCGTGCATACGCATTCTTACTAAGTCAAGGGCAATAACTCTCAAACGCAAAAAATCTACATTCAATCCTTATATTTACATTTGGTATTGTTCAGAAATCTATCACAGTGCTTTAAAAGATAAAATTTATTGCCCCTGGTGTTGAAATGCTCGTAATCACTCTAGAAGGCACAGTTCTTGACGAAACTTGTTGTGAGTGTGAGGATGAACCCTATTAAATCTGAAGAATCGAAAAATATTTAGTATGAGTTATTGCCCTTGTTCATGAAAACATGTACAATTTTTAGCTCGTAAAAACTCTGGAAGGCACAATTCTTGACAGATTTTGACGAAACGTTTATGTGAGTGTTTGTTATCACTCAATGATGAACCATATTGAAAATCAGAAGAATCGAAAAATATTTAGGATGAGTTCAATTTTTAGCTCTTAGACATAAGGCACAATTCTTGACAGATTTCAAAGAGTCAAAATGTTTATTTTCATCTATGAACCCTACTGAAAATCAATCAACTGTTTGATAGTGTTAGTTAGATTTCGGGGAAGGGAGGGTTTGATTCTCCCAAATGTACAGGCCTAGGATGGAGCAGACACTTTATTTAGAAAATAGGATTAAGGGTCTTGAATTTGTCCGGGAGGTTGAAAAGAGTTATCAGTAAATGAATGTTTCTGAGAGTGAAATTTTCATATTTCATGGGTTTTGAGAGTGAAATTTTCATATTTCATGGGTTTTGTTTACAGCTTACAATTCAAAAACAAGGGCAATAACTCATAGTGTCATTTTGACTAGAGTTAAAATGAGTAATTAACAATGCGATGAGGTTTTATTAAAAATTATAAAAAGTGCCCCCTATCTATAAACTCTTATACTACTCATTTGCCTGCGGCGCCCGCAAGCTCACCAAACAAACAACCCCACCAGTTAATAAACCCGGAGCCTATAGGGGTACCCGTTTATCAACCCCCAAGCGCGCCACGCCTATAATATCTTCAAATTAACTCATTTAAAAACAGAATGAGTTTAATTTTAAAACACGAACAAGATAAAGTAAATAGCACATCACCTCCAATCGATCAAGACAAAGAACAAATCAAAGGTAGGTTCTATCAAAACGAACTTCAAAAAACTGACTTTTAAAAATGAATAGCTTTCTTGATAAATACGGAACCGATACAACTACAAACTTTCAACTTATGAAATGGGCAAATGAGTTAAATATATCTTCGTTTTATTATTGTATGAGAGATGAAATAAATAATCTCAAGGATAAGAAAGGTAAAGTTTATGCGATTACTTCATATCAAAACGGAGTTCATCACTCTGCTTTATACAAAGACTGTTTAAATAACTTTTATTTCTTCGATTCTTTTGGATTAGAACCAACTGAAGAGATAATGAAATTAATGCAATTGACTAATCAACCAATCAAATGTTCAACATTTCAAATTCAAATACCGGGTCAAAAATTTTGTGGTCAACATTCACTTTGGGTTTTATATCAGTTGAGTTTAGGAAAACAATTTGAAGAAATTATAATAAATTTAAGTTAATAAAAATGGCGAATAAATTTGGATTAGGTTCTTTACCTTTAGATAATAAAAAACCTAACACAACAGCATGGATAAATAAAGCAAAACCTTATTTTGTGGAACAAATTGGAGACACGCTTGAAGGTGATTTAGATATGATAATTTTACCATAACTAATTCAAAGTTACCAGCAAATGATTATGATGCTGTGCACAAGAAATATTTAATGGATCAATTAAATTTAATTGAAGTAAATAAAGAACATTTAAAAGAAAGAAAAGGCGATGTGAAAAGATACTTCAAACGACAAATAAATAATAAACATTTTATTGATGATACTAAATTACAACAAGAAGTAACAAGTTTAAAAAGTTTTATTGAAGGACAATTACTTAATGTAGTAGATAAAACTCAATTACAACCTTTAAGTTCATTAATATCTAATTTAGATGATAAAATTACAAAACAAAAAATAGATCTTAAACAACTAATAGCCAATATTAATCCAGGTATAAGTGAAGATAAATTAACAACATTAGAAACTAAACTTATTGATAATAGTGAAATACAAAAACAAATAGTTGGTATTAAACAACAATTACTTAATGTAGTAAATAAAACTCAATTATAAAATTTAAAATCATTAATATCTAAATTAGATGATAAGATAACAAAAAAAAAAAATAGACCTTAAACAGATAGTAGATAATATTAAACCAGGTATAAGTGAAGAAAAATTAACTGAATTAGAAACCAAACTCAATGATAATAGTCGCTATTCAAAAACAATTACTCAATCTAGTAGATAAAACTCAATTACAAAATTTAAAATCATTATTATCTAAATTAGATGATAAGATAGCAAAGCAAAAAATAGATCTTAAACAACTAATAGAAAATATTATTCCAAGTATAAGTGAAGACACATGGCAACAGGAATCAACTGCTCTAGAAACTAAATTTAAAACTGAATTACAAAAAGAACTAACAAATATTAAACAACAGATAGAAAATATTGATTTATGTGAACAGATAGCTACTATTAAAAAGACTCCTAGAGAAAGGTATCATAGATAAAAAATGATTATAAAAACGTAATTGATTAAATTATCCAATAAAAATAGTCATTGAAAAAATGCCAAATTAAGAACAGCTATTCGTTATCACCTCAAATAAATCAGACATTAAATTGTCTCTAGATTATGAGTACGAACTCGATCGCAATGAAGAATATGAATTAGGATTAAAATATTTCTCTGTTTGCAATTCCATTAGAAATATCAACGAAAATAATAACCAAATGAAAATATTAACAGATAACGGAGCTACATTCAAAACCATAAGTTTACTACCAGGAAGCTATGAATACGTTGCCATAAACGAATATCTATCTGAATATGGAAGAAGTGCAAATGGTAAAAACAATATTGAATCCGAAAGTAATTTGAATCTGAACAAAAATAAAATTGATATTGAGAAATAAGAGTCAAGTTGATTTCAATGTAGAAAATTCTTTGAATACTTTATTAGGATTTGATAAGCAAATATACACCCAATCCACTCTAGCACCACATAAAGCTAATATCGAGAATGATATCGATGTCATTAATATTCACTGTAATTTAATAAACGGTGAATTTTTCAATAAACACAAACGTCAGATTATTTACAGTATTCCAACATTCACTGTACCGATTGGATATAGAATTATAGAGAAACCATTTCAAACAACGTATTTACCACTTAATTCGTTCATGATTAAAGATATAAATCTGGAAATCCAAGATGGTAAAAATAGGTTTATTGACTTTGGAAACGAAGAAATTGTAATTCAACTTCATTTAACACACAAAAAAAAATTATTGAGTAATTAATCACTCTCCTTTCGCTTCTTCAATATATAGGTAATCGAAATCATCAAATTCATAGTTTTCATCAAAAGTATACTCATTTTTATCACTATAAGGATACATAGTTCCTTCACTGTTTGGTGGTTTTCTTTTTACAAGATTTAAATAACTTCTAAAAACTTTCTTTTGTTTATCATCATCCTTTGGAATAACTATTCCATTTGTGAAACTTTTTTCCCATCTTTTGTTAAATTCATTCGACACATCATGTCCACTAGCCAACCGAATATAATCTTCTACACTTGTCTTATCATTTAGAATAACCCTTAAACGTTTTCTTTTCTTTTAAAACATCTTCAGAAGTTTGAATGATATATTTGACTTTTGACTTTTTCACCGTAATCATTCTTGCCTTTACAATATTCATTTTCAGATACCAACCCAGCTCGATTTAATTTATCACAATTTCAAGATGAAATGTATAAACTATCAGTATCGGTATAGTATATGTCAGGTTCATAAAATCCATTTATTACATGAATGAAATTATTCATTATTTTTTTACTGTGAGATAAAACGAATGATCCAAAATGACTAGGTGTTAGTCCTGTAGATTTAGCTGAGTGATCTTCAACAGTAATCTCTTTTTCTTCAATTTCTATCTCAACGAAATATTGAGTATCATTTATTTTTTCATAGTTTTTAACATGTGAATCCATACAAGGAATAACTTAATAATTTCATGCAAATTCTACCAACCATATTAACTTCTCGTTTATATTTATATCTTAGATCTCTCAAAATTAAAATATAATCTCTGTATGGTGGAGTTTTAAAATTTTCTTCGTATACTATACCATCTAATATTCTATTAATTCGTCCACCGGCTTTCACTATTTCTTGAATATCGACCGATGTTAAAACAACTGAACAGAAACCATTTCTAAACCTGATTTTAGTGCCAGTTTCCTTTTTTCCTTCTTTATTTGTGTAAGATATTTTATCTGCTGGTATCGGTTGGAAGAACATGTTTTTGGGATAGTCAAACCACACTGTTAAAATAGCTGTTCTAGGTCTAAATTTTTGTTTATTGAAGAGTTTTACAAATTCTTGTTCTTCTAGAAACGGTCTAGCACGTTCTGCTTTTGGATATTTACTGACTAAATCCGACATTGCTGAAGCGTACAAACCATTAGCATCAAATGCCGTTAGTTTATTTCAGTTTATTTTTTTAATACATTACAAATTTCATCCATTTGGTTCATTTCAAATATTTTTCTATTTGCCGAAACTCTTCCTCCTTTAATAGATCGTCTGATATAATGTCTTATTAAAGGGTTAGTGTGTGAGTAAACTTTTTCTATATTTTCTTTTTCAGTATGTTTCGCAACCATTCTACTAGTTTCATGCCATTCTTCTTCAACCATTTCTTTATCGTAATGATATAAATAATACCAACCCTTTAAAGATAAAGATGGAGCTGTTAGATTATTTGATATATTCTGGTTTACAACTTCTTTCGTGACTTGGTTATATTTTATCAAACAAGTTCCAAGACATAACTTAACTCTTTTTGCATATACTTCCCATTCGTTTTTTAAAGATTCCCAGTTATCTTTGGTGTATTTAGAAATGTCTACATCCGCGATCTTTCTCAAATTCATTGGTAGATTAGATGAATTACCCCATGCCGCAAAACTATATGTTTCATGTTGATAGGAACATGTGAAATTAATATGTTTTAAATAATTATTATTGCTTGTTATTTCTTTCTGTCTTTCCTATTATTTCTGATAATCTTCATCTGTGTATGGATTAGATAAAGGTAAAGATAGAATTCCTCTAGGTGTTTTTGAAGGGCATTGTGTTAGTTTTTTTTATATTTTTAAGCACGATCCAGTTATCAAAATTGCTACCGTTTTGAGAAATTAATATTAATCTCTTTCTATCATATTGACCTAAATATTTCAACATTTGATCTATACAATCTGTACCTACAAATATTTCTACTATATTCATTAGTTTATCATAAAATTCTTCTGGAACATTATCTGCAGGATTTAAATCTGGAAAGAGATTATTTATTGTGTCTAACATTTTTCTTAGTTTTTTTAAATTAATTAACGTACACGCATAAGGAATTGCTTTACGCGTTTCACTTTCTGAATATGTTTCACAATCCCAAGCAAATAACCCATCATCACTCATACTTGAAAACACGTTTAGTTTCAGAGGTGAAACCTGTGTTACTGTGTTATCGTCTCTACATGTTTTCCATTCTTGTTCATAATTATCTTCTATTTCTTTAATACCCAAACTTTTTTTATTTCTTCTTATAAGACAGAAATGTGAGTTGTGTAAATATAAAACCCAATCTAATTCCTCTTTTACAATTGTGGGGCGCAAATTTCGATTATTATGAGTATGAATTTGAAATGTAATATCACATTTCTTATTGAATTCATTAATTCTAGCAGATGTCATCACTCCTTTTCTATTTGCTTTTGAGAAACCATTGATGAAATTTTGAAATTCATTTGTTAAATCTTTGTTTAAAACATAGTTTACACATTTGATAAAACAGCTACCATCTGTTGGTATGTAACAATTTTTGCCTATATATTCATTTATTTTTTTGAGTAGTGCAGTTCCTCTTACAACTTTTGATCTTTTAATTTCTTTAAAATTGTCTTTAAGTAAAAAGATACTTCCTGTAAAGTACCAATCAGAAGTGTCAGATTTTTCTTCCAAACTTCTTAAGATAGTATGAAAAGTTTTGGCATTAAAACCAAGGAGTTTCATAAATTGTTTGTGCTTTCCATCTTGAAATATCTCTCCATCTATTTCAATTTGTCTTTTTAAATGTTAAAAATTTATCAGAAATAATCTTGATAATATTTGAAAATAACACGTTTTCTATGAATGTTTCATCATCATTAATTTCAATTGATTTATTCATATTTTTATATATGCTTTTTTAATTATCTATTTTTTAAACTTTTATTGCTGATATTTCCATTTCAAATTTATCTAAAATTTCATTGAATTCTTCTAATTCTTCTATTGTTATGTTTTTATCTTCTCTTGATCTTTCGAAAAATATAAATAATTTATTAAGATAGGCATTTAATATTTCTGTTTTCTTTTTATACTAAGATCTCTGTTTTGATGTATAACCTACAGCAATCAAACCATAAGATGAAGTTTGAATAGCAGTAATAAGTAGTGGAACCATTAATCCACCAGTTACGGCCGTTGCAACTGTTGTTCCTACTGTTAGAACTACACTCAGTGTTTTGAAAACAGAATGAACTCTAAACTCTAAACTCTAGTCTACTTTTGAGTTTTTATCTAAAATATCAATCTCAACCGCTGAGCCATGATAAATTTCTATATTTTTAAAAATAGTAACTTCTACAGTTATTATAGATATTTCTTCTTTCGAATCATTAATCTTATTCAAATGAACTGAAATTTTTGGTTTTTTGATATTGATTTTTATCATACATGAATAAGTATATATATCCAACTTTTTCACTTTCAATTATTCAATTATTGAGGAAAATATTCTTGTTGATTTTTATGAATATCAATTATAAATAAATCAGTATTAACAAAATATAGTTTTACATATTCAAAGTCTGTTGATGTTCGTAAAAACTCATAACTCCTTGTTTCCCCTTTATTTTGTGGTTCTGGATTTCTAATAATACTTACTGATGGTGGAGTTTTCGTCTCCAATATCATATGAAATTTACCCAATCCAAACACTTCATCTTCTTTATCTGGTAAAATTAACATTCTAAATCTATCTATATATTTTCAACTCGTTTTAATTTCATATAAGTAGGGATAAACCTTAATGTTTTCATTGTTAATTTCAAATTCTTTAGTTTGTACATTTTCTCTACCATTGATAAACTGAAGAACTTTATGAGCGTTAAATTAATTAGATGTTTCTGATTATTGTGTGAAGAAATTGAATCAGCTTTAACCTGCAAAGGAAAAGTAATTTCAATTTGAACTTTTCCTCGGGAAATAAAATATGATGAATTTTCTTCATTAAAAATACCTTGGAGGAACATAAAATCTTGAACAGAATATCCTTTAACGGTTGCTGTAAATCCATATTTTTTATATTCATAATCTTTTGATTTATCAATATTATTAGTAATAGAAACATGTTTTCCACCAATGTTTTGAAATGGAAGATTGAAATAATATGATTTTTTATTTTCCTTGAGTTTGTTTTCTAATGTGGTTATATTTTTTCCTGTTTTAAAACTTCATTATTAATAGTAGCTATCTATTCACATAAATCAATATTTTCTATCTGTTGTTTAATATTTGTTAGTTCTTTTTGTAATTCAGTTTTAAACTTAGTTTCTAGAGCAGTTGATTCCTGTTGCCATGTGTCTTCACTTATACTTGGAATAATATTTTCTATGTTGTTTAAGATCTATTTTTTGCTTTGCTATCTTATCATCTAATTTAGATAATAATGATTTTAAATTTTGTAATTGAGTTTTATCTACTAGATTGAGTAATTGTTTTTGAATAGCGACTATTATCATTGAGTTTGGTTTCTTAATTCAGTTAATTTTTCTTCACTTATACCTGGTTTAATATTATCTACTATCTGTTTAAGGTCTATTTTTTTTTTGTTATCTTATCATCTAATTTAGATATTAATGATTTTAAATTTTATAATTGAGTTTTATTTACTACATTAAGTAATTGTTGTTTAATACCAACTATTTGTTTTTGTATTTCACTATTATCAATAAGTTTAGTTTCTAATGTTGTTAATTTATCTTCACTTATACCTGGATTAATATTGGCTATTAGTTGTTTAAGATCTATTTTTTGTTTTGTAATTTTATCATCTAAATTAGATATTAATGAACTTAAAGGTTGTAATTGAGTTTTATCTACTACATTAAGTAATTGTCCTTCAATAAAACTTTTTAAACTTGTTACTTCTTGTTGTAATTTAGTATCATCAATAAAATGTTTATTATTTATTTGTCGTTTGAAGTATCTTTTCACATCGCCTTTTCTTTCTTTTAAATGTTCTTTATTTACTTCAATTAAATTTAATTGATCCATTAAATATTTCTTGTGCACAGCATCATAATCATTTGCTGGTAACTTTGAATTAGTTATGGTAAAATTATCATATCTAAATCACCTTCAAGCGTGTCTCCAATTTGTTCCACAAAATAAGGTTTTGCTTTATTTATCCATGCTGTTGTGTTAGGTTTTTTATTATCTAAAGGTAAAGAACCTAATCCAAATTTATTCGCCATTTTTATTAACTTAAATTTATTATAATTTCTTCAAATTGTTTTCCTAAACTCAACTGATATAAAACCCAAAGTGAATGTTGACCACAAAATTTTTGACCCGGTATTTGAATTTGAAATGTTGAACATTTGATTGGTTGATTAGTCAATTGCATTAATTTCATTATCTCTTCAGTTGGTTCTAATCCAAAAGAATCGAAGAAATAAAAGTTATTTAAACAGTCTTTGTATAAAGCAGAGTGATGAACTCCGTTTTGATCTGAAGTAATCGCATAAAATTTACCTTTCTTATCCTTGAGATTATTTATTTCCTCTCTCATACAATAATAAAACGAAGATATATTTAACTCATTTGCCCATTTCATAAGTTGAAAGTTTGTAGTTGTATCGGTTCCGTATTTATCAAGAAAGCTATTCATTTTTAAAAGTCAGTTTTTTGAAGTTCGTTTTGATAGAACCTACCTTTGATTTGTTCTTTGTCTTGATCGATTGGAGGTGATGTGCTATTTACTTTATCTTGTTCGTGTTTTAAAATTAAACTCATTCTGTTTTTAAATGAGTTAATTTGAAGATATTATAGGCGTGGCGCGCTTGGGGGTTGATAAACGGGTACCCCTATAGGCTCCGGGTTTATTAACTGGTGGGGTTGTTTGTTTGGTGAGCTTGCGGGCGCCGCAGGCAAATGAGTAGTATAAGAGTTTATAGATAGGGGGCACTTTTTATAATTTTTAATAAAACCTCATCGCATTGTTAATTACTCATTTTAACTCTGGTCAAAATGACACTATGAGTTATTGCCCTTGTTTTTGAATTGTAAGCTGTAAACAAAACCCATGAAATATGAAAATTTCACTCTCAAAACCCATGAAATATGAAAATTTCACTCTCAGAAACATTCATTTACTGATAACTCTTTTCAACCTCCCGGACAAATTCAAGACCCTTAATCCTATTTTCTAAATAAAGTGTCTGCTCCATCCTAGGCCTGTACATTTGGGAGAATCAAACCCTCCCTTCCCCGAAATCTAACTAACACTATCAAACAGTTGATTGATTTTCAGTAGGGTTCATAGATGAAAATAAACATTTTGACTCTTTGAAATCTGTCAAGAATTGTGCCTTATGTCTAAGAGCTAAAAATTGAACTCATCCTAAATATTTTTCGATTCTTCTGATTTTCAATATGGTTCATCATTGAGTGATAACAAACACTCACATAAACGTTTCGTCAAAATCTGTCAAGAATTGTGCCTTCCAGAGTTTTTACGAGCTAAAAATTGTACATGTTTTCATGAACAAGGGCAATAACTCATACTAAATATTTTTCGATTCTTCAGATTTAATAGGGTTCATCCTCACACTCACAACAAGTTTCGTCAAGAACTGTGCCTTCTAGAGTGAT